GCAACCATAGATTCTTATCTGCACATGCTTTTGATATACATGTATCTAATATTTCACGGCCTCCTTTTCAGATATACCACAACCAGTTGTCGATGGTCCAAGAATTATTGTTTCATATACATAGCTTAAAGATTTAATTTAAGTTTTTTTCCACGTCAAAACCTTCAAATACCAAAAACAAAAAACAACTAAATTCTTGATTTTCTTGGACCTACATGCGTCCGATACGTTTGAAAAAGCTACTTAACATGGAAAGTAAATAAAAAAATCAAAGCAAATCCTAAGATTATCTCCAATTTCTCTTGCCTAATCAAAACAAAATAAAGTTTACAAAATCAAATAAAATATCGACAGTTAAATATATATTACGATAAAAAAATCAAACCATAAAATTTTGTCCAGCCGTCGTCAATATCGCACGGATATTTCATTTGTAATTTACAAGGGAAAACACAACTTCCTTTTCATTTGGAGCTAGCATATAAATCCTTTTGATAAATGTTTTATTGCGGGATGGGATCTGAGCTAGATGATGGCTACAGCTGAAATTAACTTTCAAATTATCTTGTTTATAATTGATAGCATGCCCATTGGGATAACCCACAGTATACAGATTCTGTTCGAAACGTGATGGATAGAAATTTACGTATTTTCTTGGAGTTGGAGATAATTACTGGCCTCAATTGTCTCTCTATATATGAAAAGGATGGCTTCTGCCACTTGAAAAATGGATAACTCCAATTTCTTGGATAAGGATGGGCAGACTTATCAAGTGAGGAAGCCGAAACGACAGCGATTCTTCTTTCTCAAACAAAAGATAAGTTTTCCTACAACGACATGACCCTATCTTTACCTGTTCGTTTGTGTGTTTTTTTCTTTTTTTCTCAGGAAAAATAAAGACAGGATTCAGTTGAGCTATGGATAGCCGTAACAGCTCAGGATAGATCTGCACTTACCAGTTCTCAATATCGGCAAAGATAGGTCAGACCTCGAGTACGAGACCCCCATTTATTTTTTGAATTAATCTTAAGAGTATATTTAATATGAAAAAAAATATCAAATTGATTTTTTAATTATTTTAATATGTTAATGTTAAAAAAATAAAAAATATTTTAATATTTTCTTAAATAAAAAAATATTTTTAAAAAACAAGGTTCCACATAATAACAATCGCACTCTATTAAGAATGAAAAGGCATTCAGCTAATTAAATTTGAGTTAATTTTGTTCCACATACCTCTTTCCATGATCAAGAGTTTTAATTAGTTTGATCTCTTTCTTGTTAATTTGATTATTGTTTGAATTCTTTTAGTATTTTCTGAATTACTAGTAAAAAATTATGGGCCGATAAATATCTGTATGTACGAAAATAAAAATTTAAATCGAAGGGTGGAATCTGTTTTCTTTAAATCTAGAGGAGAATTTGTGTCTTGTTTATGGAAGTTCCTTTGTCTATAACGAACACCATGAACACCATGGCACCAGCCACCAAGATTTTTGCTTTTGCATACAAAGAGAAGGGGAATCACGTCCCGAACTTGAGAGTTTTGAGGAATGTTATTAATTAATTCTCGTCCGGGGTGGTTGGTTAATTTGAAACCTAATATGAGTTGAGTTTTATAAAAGAATAAAAAAAAAATTAACCCTGTTTTCTTCAATATTCTATTTTATAAAATGACTTTATTTTGATTTTTTTTAAATAAATTTTTAACTAATCCAAGTTAATCTACTCCTCAAATGTGATTCGAGTATTACTTTGAGTTGACTCAAGTATTACTTTGAGTCGACTCTCGATTCAGATTTAATATCAATGTTTGTGAGAGCAATGGGGAGAGAGAAGATGCGGGTGTGGCATGTGGGAGAAGCTTTGTGGAGAGTCTGCGGGGGAGGGGAGTATATGATAGGTCACTCGTCTTCATATATCCATTTCTAATAGGCCATAGCTCTTGGCCCACGCTGTATGGGTTTTCAAAATTACCGGGCGTGGCTCGAACTCTTCTTTCAAAAATGACTTGCCATGGCAGCCTAGATGCAGCGCCTCAAAGAAGCAGCAGTTGTTAGCAATGGCACGTCTGATCCGGCAATGCCGTTTCTACGTAACCATTGCTTCTGTCACGCTGTGTTCAACTACCTCCTCTCTGAATCTTTAATTTTATCCATCAAAGCCATCTCTGCTCGTCTCTCTCTGACTGTAGTTACAGCTTCTAATCGTAACGTGCATTTTCGATCACGCCGTTCAGAAAAAACTTCTGGTTTTGGACAAGAAGGAAATGCAAGTGATTCGGATTCTGAATCATACAAAAGCCGCAAACAGAAAAAACGAGAGGCTCGACTTGCCATTCGTTGGGGCATGGAACTGGCTTCCTTTTCTCCACCCCAAATCAAACGCATTATCAAGTGATGAACGCAAATTAACTTCCCTTCTTATTTTTTCCCCTAAAATCACGAACTTTAAAGCTATTCTTTGCAGTTTAAATTGTGTCTTGCTTGGGATTTTCTAGGGTGGCTTCACTTGAGAAATACGTATTCGATGCGTTAATGTTAGTGAAGGTACTTCTGCTGTGATATCATGTGTCTTTACTCTTTCTGAGTGCGTTGATTTTTTAGCTGTTTTATGTTTTTAGCGAGGGAGGCAAAAGAAGATAATGTGCGTGTTTTTGTAGCAGAGACCAGGACCGGATGTGCGGCAAGGAAAGCGGAGGCAATATAATTGCGTATTTAATGAGAAAGATGTTCGTTTCATGGTGTGGCTTTTATTTCTCTCAATCAAGTAAACTGTGTGTCATGCAAGAACATCATAGGTGCATATCTTGTCTTGTAGAGAATCTTTAACATCGAGTTTTACCATTATAAATGTGTTCTTAAATCTTGATTGCTATGTGCAATGTGTGGGTGGGGAAATTGTTGCGGGATGTAGAAACTGAACTGATGGATGCTTTGATTCATGCCTCCAGAAGATGGTGATTGGAGTAGGCTGCAGGGATTTTCTGGTTTGGAGGAAAAGATTATTGGCGATGACAATGAAGAATCTGGAGAAAGCGAATACGATGTGGAAGAGGAGGCATGGTAAGCAATTACTGCCTGCGGTTGTTTTGAATAGCAATACAGTTGGGTTTATGAACGCACATGTCAAATTCTTCAGTCTTCTTCTGGTCTAACTCCAACTGTGAAATCTGTTAATTGAAGACACTGATCTTATTTTAACTTTCTTCACTACCAATTCGGTATTGAACGCAAACCTATCATTACAGCTCTTTTCTTGGTCTACAACTTATGGATGCAATTCTCACTTCCGTAGTCTTGATTATGTCTTGTTGCATTTTACTTCCACAAGCTGAAGCTTGCATAAGTGTGGTAAGTGGAAATAATGAATTAGAACTCCAAGGAAGCTGGAGTATTTTCAGGGGTCACACGAGTACATTGGTATAGCAGCCAGTTGGTTCGATGGCCTGATTAACAGAGACATAAAAGTTATCAATGAAGTTTATGCACTTCGAAGCATTGATTTTGACAGTCAGTTCAGTGAAATGTCACCCTGAGTGTATCAGTTACTGCATATCAGCTTCGTTCACGAGACATCTCTAACAATGGGCTAACGATTCCTACTGTGAGTTTGTTGATGAAAAAATGTTGTTTGGAAAGAAAAAAGGGGGTGAAAATTCATATAAAGTCACCACATGAACCATCAATCACTTGGCTTTCTTCTTCTTTTTTTCCCAACTGAAGAAATAAAAAAACTATCAACAGGAGACTTTATCGCTTCCAGACGATTACTTAGCTCTTGCGAACCCAGCATATTAAATCCTGCACATTCTACGCATGTTTGTATATCATTATATAGTCCAAGAAGCAGAGACCATGGTCTGTCTGTATAATTTGTTGCAAGGATGCCTTCAAGGGTAATGTTGAATTGTTCATCATCTATCTTTCCTATGATGGAATGATCTATCAAGCAGGAACTGCATAAACATGTGCGAAGAATGCATGCAGTTCAAGAACACAAGGGAGTTGCAGAAGAAAATGAGCAGGAATTGGAAACTGCAATCACAGCTGCCAAAAAGTCCCTCGCCCGTTTCCTCCATGGCCTTGATAAACAAATGCCGAGAGAATCTAATCATATTGATTTGTAATATAAATAATTTTTTATCATTGCATATTTTCTCCACGAAGCGTCTAATACGTGTCTCATTGATCTCAGCAATTTATACTGGGCAAAACAAGCAGGGTAGCTGACGAGCCACCTCATAGAATTATAGGCTATATAGCTTGGGCTTAGGCTCGTGGATGTAAACACGGCTTGTAGAGTCATATCTTTTGCTTTTGAAGGCGAGGCCCATTACCATTCCCCTTTCCTTCCCTTCATTCCTTTTTGCTGTCCTTTGTTTTTAAATTTTGGATGGTGAGAACCATTGGGAGTCTGGGACTTGTAAACCGGTGGACACTTGAGCTGATGTATAGACCTCAGAACAAGAGTCCTAGATGGTCCGATATGCATTTACTTGGATAAACTTGCGTGGTTCTATCTTTGCGCTAAGGGCTATACTGCCACACAAGAATGGTACTGGATAATTGCCTATTTACTTCAAGGAAAGAATCATCTTAAAAGCGTGCTATCATTGTGTCGTATATGGCCGTCCAGTACCTTTACCAAGTTTTTGTGAAGGTAGATAGCAATAGCAATAATAATCCACAGTCCTCTTCTGCCCTGGTCTATAGGTGCTTGTGGGCACATTGCTTACTCCCACACGACAGGCTCATCAATAATCAAGATAACTTGACATGCACCTTTGTTTTTCATTTTTTCTGTCTCTTTCCGTGCTTGGGCGATACTCGGGGTCATAGTTTCGTAGGACATGAGGCAATGCATGGTATAAGATGTAACGTATTTGTCATGATAGATAGCTACGAGGTGAGTTGTTCAATTCAGCAATATTTTTCCTCAATAATGGTTCTACTTTGATATGCCTTGTGCATCAGCTGATGCCATACCATCCAGATTGCTTAATTATTGTTGTCACTTCTGTCTATGGAAAGCTACAAAGCGCATGATGATAAAGCTGTGATTAGTCAGCCAGTGATGCCTATACTTAGTTTTCAAATGCTGTGAATCAGATCTATATATAATGCCTGATGATATTTGTTTTGACAATTATCTTGGACGGCATCCATTCTTTGTTTCTAATCTCTATATGCTTGCATCACATTCATACATATCAGTGCGAGTCTGTAGTTGCCTCAATCATGATTCTGCTGTATATCACAATGGTGCTATTGCTTCTACCATTAAAATTGTTTTCCTGGATTGTCTACTGCCTAATTTTCAACATTTTCGGCGTCAATAGGTTCCCGAGATTCCCAGAAATGTTTAGCTTCTCTAGAGTGAAAATACCTTTTTTCTCTAGTGCCTAAATTTCAACATTTTATGTTCTAATTCTACAGCTGGAACTGTTGCCAATTCCAATATCTAGCCATGCAAGGACCATATCGTAGAGGTAGTTTTACTGAGCTAAAATTCTGTTGAAAATATGAAATTTGCAGGCAAGTGCTTAATGCCAAAGTTAATCAGATGTCATAGTCCCAAATACTTGGGGGGATAACATTCACTATTAACTTAATCATAAGAATTAGGAAATTCCTCTCCCAACAATACGCAAGGATGCTTGGCAGTGAAAATAATGGCACTGAACTCCGAAGAGCTAACATTTTAAGGTTCATTGCAGTGTGTACTATGGACCACCTGTTCTTTGCACAACAAGCAGAAAAGAAAATGGCCATTTGAGTGATGCTGCATGCTGTGCAATTGCTTAACCTAATTCCAAAACAACTTGACCCTACAAGAGATAAGAGTTTCTCTGGTGGGGGACAGAAAATGATAAGGTAGGCATATGGCGAATTAAATAGGCTGTGCTGCCGACTACTTCTCGAATTTAACCAAGACGAATACAAGAGGAACTTTTGGAAAGCCAAGTAAACAAGACTGGGAATAAGTTGCTCCTTGGGATGCCCCGTAAATTGCAATTTACATCACTGGGTTTACGTAAGAAACTGTTCTTGCTCATTTGGAGCAAAATTATTAAACTCGGCCGGCTTATTTAAAACTTGAGTTATAAATTAACTAGTTATTCAGTATCAATAAAAATATTTTTTTTTATGACTATCATGAACCAGAAGTTGGGCCTAAAATTTTGTCTATATCAATTGCATGTGAAGTGATTGATAATAATTTTTTAAAATATTTTTTATATAAAAATATATAAAAATAATAATTTTTTAATTTTAAAAAAATTATTTTTAATATTATACCATTAAAAAAATCTGAAAACACAAAAAAAATTTTAAAATAAAATAATATTTTTTATTTAAAATAAAATAATATTTAAAAGTGTATTAGAGGTTATTTTTTTAAAGTATTTTTTATTAAAAAATATACAAAAATAATATTTTTTATTTTAAAAACATTATTTTTAACATCATCTCATCAAAAAAATTTAAAAATAATAAAAATAATTAATTAAAAGTAAAAGAATAAAAAATTCTTTTAAAATAGAGAAAGAGAGACTTAGGACGTCAGTCGTGAAATGGCCGAGGGAATAAAAGATGCACAAGAAATCTATATCCTTGTGAGTTATAGAGCATGAAAGTATGAGACAAGGGGTAAGATACAAACTAGAAGAGTTTTCGTCATAAGAAACAAGGGAATTATTTCCTTCAGTTTGGTTTTTGTGTCAGATCGCAAAATAAATTTGGAGTTTCTCAATTTGTTGTTTGCAGGACGTCACAGAGGGCGACTTCTCGTCAAGGATTGGTGGCAGCAACAGTACTGTGACAATGATACATGGCATGTGTTAAAAATATTTTATAAGAATAAATTCTTAGAATACAGATAAGAAATTAAATAAACGACACCTTCTATTTAATATCATAAATTTATAATATTTAAAATAATTCTCATTAATTTTATGTTAAAAATTCATCCACATTAAACAATAAAAACAATTGAATACGATTCGTCGAGGGTATCATTACTCTAGATTTATTAGATTTAAAGTCAAGTGAGTGTCCATCACCCTCCCTTTGATTAATTTGTTTCACATTCTCCAAATATGAAGCGAAAGTGATTGAAGAGCAGCCCTAGCTTTCTTCCCTCTCTTCTTTTAGTGAGCAGATATTCTAAGCTGGTTCTTGCCAAAGTTATCGAACAACAACTCTTCAGAAAACAGGAGTGGATTGAGAACACCGTTCTAGTTCACTGTTTAAGACTATCCCAGGACTTTTTTTAAAAAAAAAAATGTGTCTGACAGGGAATGTTCATAAACAAAAAAAGAAAACGTGCTTGTTTGAAGAGTCTATGGTGTTAGAAAATAATATAAATTATATCATAAGACCTCATTTAATAGTCTAAGCTTTTAGGTGAGATGGTTTTTTGACATGGTATCAGAGTTTTGATGACCAAATAGTCACGAGTTCGAATGGTACCATCCCCATTTGTTTAATAAAAATTAAGTATAAGATAATGTAAACCTATACAAGTTTAAGTTCAAAAGACTTTCATTTAAGGAGGTATGTTAAAGAATAATATAAATCATATCCTAGAATCTTATCTAATAGTTTAAGTTTTTAAATGAAATTATTCTTTAAAATCTGGGCCGCCATTTAAGCTCGCTATAGGTAAAGGTGATCCCATGGTCAACAACAAACAATCAATTACTCAATCAATTACATGAGTGCCTGCAGTTAGCATGCCAAGATATCTGACTTGCAAGAGTAAACACAACCAGTCTATTCTAAGCCGGTGGCTTAATTGATACAAAATTCTCAGAACTATGCAATGTTTTTGTCATGTTGGATAGGGAAATCAAACTTTTACTTTATGTCTGAGATATTTCCTTTTTTCGATGGGCCTCGATTAGATATTTGGAAATCAATGGAAGCAGATATTTCTTGATGCTAAAATCTACCAGAGTAGTTGCTTTCGGGCAGGACTTGTAACTTCCGGGCACCGCCTTCATCCTTGAGAAACCCTGAGTAGTGCTAAAACTACCCAAGATATTATGAGATTCGGGATCTTGAATGTTGCTGTAAGTTGAACCCAACTTTAACTGTCCCTCTTGCAACTCGGGGACATGTAGCATCGATCGTCGAGCCAGTCAGTAGGTTTGGGTTGGTGCTAATTGGCAATGAATTGTCAATAGACATGAAGAACTTGGATTACAAAGCTTGACCGTCGACTATTCCGAGGACAGACGTGCCATTATCGAAAATATTGGTGTAGTTTGTAAATAAATAAAAAAATATTTATTTTATATTTATTTTTTTTAACGTTTTTAAATATGGGTTTAAATTAAGTTATTATGGACAAACTCTTTTATTTGACTTGCTAATATTATTATATGAATATTTAAAATATCAAAAGATAGAACTTTGAACTTAAAATTTAATATGAATAGTTATACTATTTATATCATACTGTTTGATGAATAATTATATTATTTTATTAATAATCATATTATTTGATAAACAATCATAATGGTTCATCAATAATTATATTATTTAATAAAGAATCATATTGTTTTATCATTATATTTCAAATCTATAAAAACATATTATTACAAAGAAAACATATACAATGAATTACATATATTTTTTTTTATCTTATCTTTTTATTTTTTTAGAGATTTAAAGGATTTAATTATATTTTAAAAATATTATCTCTATATAAAACAAATAAATATTTTAAAAATAATATTTTTATATATCTCTAAGCTAACTCTATATTTATTTCCACCCTAGACTTTCATAATAATTTTAAAGTGTTTATTGTCGAAAAGCTGACCGAAGATTACACTTCCACTGTCCATAATGCTAAGAGATTATAAAACACCCAAGAATGCCGCGTGCCGCATTCGACTCCCTTCATTCCCATTTTACCATTTTCCGAGTGTCCAAACTCTTATCACTTGTTTCAATAAATTTGTTTCTGAAACACTTCTTAACTGGAATTCGTAATTGTAAAACAAAATGAATAGACAATTCTTTGAGTAAAGAACAAATCTAAGCATTTGGCTGGCATACAAAACAGGAAAGA